TGTCCGGGCGCCCCCGGGTTCCTTTGCAGCTCGCGGGCCGATCCGGCATCGTCTTCCGGGTTTTCTGGTCCCTCGCGTGGGGACGGGGGGAGGGAACGGGGGAAAATTTTTGAAAATTTAAAAGTGACATTCACTAAATAACTAAAATCACTCATAAACTTTCCGATCCCAACCATTCCTACATTTTGCCCATGCTTTGTCCGCCCCTCCCTGCTTTTACTGTTCTTTCGCCGGGAAACTGAAAACGTCCATGGCGTCCAAAAAGCGCCCCTTAGTCAGACGGGGGTTTTAGACCGCTAGAGAACAGCGTTAGAAATCAAAACCACTTGCAAAATTTTGATGAAAAATGATTGGTGGGGAAATCCTCATCAACACTGAAACTTCCGACTGAGCTCACGATTGCAAAACTTGGCGCTCCCTTTTTTCCACTTTTCAGTTTTTTTTTTGATTATATTTTTGAATAAAATTTATTAATATTTTTTATTTTATGATTATTAAATGATAATTAAACGATTTTGTGTTATCAATTGTATCCTCCCCGGAGTTTTACTAAGCTCTTGTTCGGCACAGATTTCAGATTATTGCTAAAAATACCAGCCTACGACTAAAAAAAAAAACAGACAATTTCCATGGCAAAAAAAATGTATCCCGCTTTGACACAGAAATATGGACTTAATCAGACCGCAAGAGGCTACCACTTGGCTATAGCTGAAGAGAGATGGTAGAGAATTTGCTTTCCATCAAGTAAGACTGTATGGGCCCTGAAGTATCTGGGAGTTGTGGTTATAGCCGGGTCGTTCTGGCAGTCTTATAAACTGGCTATTTAGTGAAGGATAAGATTGGAGGGTGCCCGCTTTATCTTGAGGAAAGTAGGTGCTGTCAGTAGTTGATGATCGCTCCACAACAGTTGTCTGGCCAGGAACGTGTTGCTGTGTGTTGCCCTTGTCCGACCACTTAGCTTTTTTCTTTTGAATCAGCCACACTGGTCTCAAGGGAAAAAAAACCTGACCCTTGTATTCCCCGCTTTAATAAATGCAAGACTTATCCTCATAATTACTGGTATAACACAACCGGAGAAGAAATTGTGGAGTTTTTTCTCCAAGGGTTGATTGGGTATTTTTTGTATTCTGTTTATAAATACCACCACCATACTCTGCCCTTTTAGGAATATTTTCCATATTTAGAGTTGTTTGAAAATAAAGAAGACATATACTGATACTACCGACACTTGTGTTTTACAGGAAACTGAACTTCAGATGGTGAAGTTTTTTGCCAGATAATTTAAACCTTTCAGAACGATTTGGTGAAGAAGTTTCCAGAATTACAAAAGATAAATCGAATATAACACTCATTGAAGAATTTTATAACAGAGGCATAAAGTAAACACCGGTACTTGTCCAACATTCATCAACTCCATACCGTGTTTCAAATGCTGAAGCTTTTACTATCAGCTTTTTTATTTTTACCTGAAGGGACAAGTGAGCAAGTGGTTGTTTTAACAGCCTCTTTACAGTCCCTGGGATTCCGCGCCTCATTACCTCGGGAGCAGGGGCAGACTGACAACTCATGGGGGCCCGCGCCGGGCAATAGAGGATAAAATCATGGGGCCCCTGATCCTTGCCACTCTCAAAGCACACACCCAGAAGAGCCTATAACAGGTACTCAAGGGGCTTTTCCGTGGGGGCCCCCTACTGAACCTGGTTGTCCCTTGGGCCAGTGCCCGAGTGGCTTCGAATGAGTACGTACGCTCCTCGCCTCAGGAATTCTCCAGAACCCCCTACCATCAAGGCCGCCCATAGCCCCCCTCCTTACATCAGGGTCCCCTTAATCCCCCTCCTTACAATCAGGGTCCCCCATAGTCCCCTCTCTCTTACATCAGGGTCCCCATAGGCCTCCCCTCCTTACACAGGTCCCCATAGCATCCCTTCCTTACATCAGGTCCCCCATAGGCCGCCCTCCTTACATCAGGTCCCCATAGTCTCTCCTCTCCTTATCATCAGGGTCCCTATAAGTCCCCGTCTTCATCCATCCGGCTTCCCCAAAGTCCCACAAAATAATAGTTACATACTTACTGTGGCATGAAAAAAAGACAAAAGTCCATCCAGGTTCAACCAAAAAAAAATTAATAAACCAACACCCCACTTTCCGTGTTTGGAGATGAAATCTCTTTTCCTCCAAATGTAAAGAGCGCCCCCTTGTCCTCTGTAATACAAGAGAGGATTTTGCTCGCTTTAGAACCCACGGCTTGGCATTGCTGCCATTATTAAGCTTGTGATCTACGAGAACCCCAGATCCTTCTCCACCATTGACCCCCAAGATCCTTCTCCACCATTGCCCCCCCAGTTGTACCCCCCCTAGTATGTATGATGCATGTATATTTTTAGTCCCCAAGTGCAGAACCTTACATTTATCACCATTATCCCTCATTGGCCCCATAGTCCCCCAATTACACAGAGCATTGAGGTCGGCTTGTAAATTGGAGACATCCTGTAAGGACGTTATTCCCGGCACAGCTTGGTGTCATCTGCAAAGAAGACTGGAATGGGATTTATAATCTCACACCCCATATATGTTTATATATATATATATTAAAAAGTAAGGGTCCCAACACTGAACCTTGGGGTACCCCACTAATAACACTGAACCTTGGGGTAACCCCACTACTGACACTGAACCTTGGGTACCCACTACTGACACTGAATCTTGGGGTACACCACTAACAACACTGAACCTTGGGGTACCCCACTAATAACACTGAACCTTGGGGTCCCCCACTAATAACACTGAACCTTGGGGTATCCCACTAACAACACTGAACCTTGGGGTACCCCACTAATAACACTGAACCTTGGGGTATCCCACTAACAACACTGAACCTTGGGGAACCCCACTAACAACACTGAACCTTGGGGTACCCCACTAAAAACACTGAACCTTGGGGTACACCACTGACACCCCCCGACCATTCAGAGTATGAATCATTACCCACTACTCTCTGAATACGATCTTTTAGCCAGTTTTTCTATCCATTTACATTCGGATTTTTCCATCCCGTAGACTTTACCTTACACAGTAGCCATGTGTGGGGAACTGTGTCCAAGTATACCACATCCACCGCCACCCCTCTGTCCAAGTATACCACGTCCACCTCCACCCCTCTGTCCAAGTATAACCACGTCCACCGCCACCCCTCTGTCCAAGTATTCCACGTCCACCACCACCCCTCTGTCCAAGTATACCACGTCCACTGCCCACCCCTCTGTAAAAATCTACGGCGTCCGCCGCCACCCCTCTGTCCAAGTACACCATGTCCACCGCCACCCCTCTGGCCAAGTATACCACGTCCACCGCCCACCCCACTGGCCAAGTATACCACACCCACCCCTCTGGCCAAGTAATACCACATCCACCCCTCTGTCCAAGTATACCATGTCCACCGCCACACTCCTCTGTCCATGTATACCATGTCCACCGCCACCCCTCTGTCCATGTATACCACATCCACTGCCACCCCTCTGGCCAAGTATACTATGTCCACAGCCACCCCTCTGTCCACCCCTCTGTCCAAGTATACCACGTCCACAGCCACCCCTCTGTCCAAGTATACCACATCCACCACCGCCCCTCTGTCCAAGTATACCACGTCCACTACCGCCCCTCTGTCCAAGTATACCACGTCCACAGCCACGCCTCTGTCAAAGTATATCATGTCCACAGCCACGCCTCTGTCCAAGTATACCACGTCCACCGCCACCCCTCTGTCCAAGGTCCAAGTATACCACGTCCACAGCCACCCCTCTGTCCAAGTATACCACGTCCACCGCCACCCGCCACCCCTCTGTCCCAAGTATACCATGTCCACCGCCACCCCCCTGTCTGTCCAAGTATACCACGTCCACCGCCACCCCTCTGTCCAAGTATATCACGTCCACAACCACCCCTCTGTCCAAGGTTTTGCTCACCTCCTCATAAAAAGAAATCAGATTTGTTGGACAACTTCTGTCTTTCATGAATCCATGCTGTCTGTGGCTTACAATATTTGTTTCCAGCAAGAACTCATCTATGTGGTCTTTTATTAAACTCTCCAGGATCTTCCCAACTATAGAAGAGTTACACTAACAGGTCTATAATTACTTGGGAAAGATTTTGTCCCCTTTATAAATATTGGCCCCACATTGGCCTTACACCAATCCAGTGGTACTATGCCAGTCATTAAAGAGTCCCTAAAAATGAGAAACAATGGCTGTGAAATGACAGAGCTCAATTCTGTAAGGCCCCGTGGGTGTCTGCCATCCGGTCCAGGGGCTTTATTCACCTTTATTCTGTCTAAATATTTCTGGATCATATCAATTGTGAGCCAATGTGGATCATCTGGAGCTGTGTCAGTACCACCCCCCATTATGGACAAGAGCCCCCCCATGCTCCTTTGTATACACAGAGATGAAGAAGGAATTTCATACATGTCCTTTTTTCTTTGTCCCCATCCCCCCCTCTAGATGGTTCTGTAAAGGGCCTACATGCTGGGACCGGACCTTTCTACTATTCATAGATTGGAAGAATGTTTTGGGGTCGGTCCTGATATCTTTTGCAATCTGTTGTTCGTTTTCAATTTTGCGCCTTTATTTCCTTTTTTCATATTCTGTTCTATTCTTTGTAATGTGTAAACGATGATCGCTTCCTTCATTGTTATCTGTAATAAAAACTCTTTTCTTATTATCTATAGCTTTTGTAACTTTGGCCGTAAGCCACATAGGTTTGATTTGTAGCCTTTTATACTTGTTGCCATGGGAATATATTGTGCAGTGTGGTCACATACAGTCTTTGAAGAACTCCCATTTCTGTGTTGTGTTCATCAATGCCAATATTCCCTCCCAGTCTAAGTCTTTGGAGAGCAGCTCTCAGCCTTAGCTCTCTTAAAGTTGGACTTTTTTATTTTTTCTGTGTGCTTGTTGTTTACAGCCAACAATAAATGAAATCATGTACATATAAGATGAAGGATGTATGGCACACAGGCAGCCTGCTATGATGGAGCAGCTGATAGCTAGGTAATACACTGCAACCACTGTGAGGTGGGAGTGAACCTTGACATGGAGTCCAGTACTGTGATGAACAATAGCCAGCCAGTATGAAAACATCAAAAGGACAACTGTATCAGCGCCATCAACGTGTGTAACCAGTCCAGCCTTTGCAACTGCACAGCTGATATGACTAAGAAGCAGCACAGGGTCGCCAGTACCCACAAAGCAATGGAACCACCAGGGTCCTGTGAAGTAAGGTCTAGGCTAAGATGTCGATGGGATATCCAAGTCCTGCAGGGATTCCTGTCATCACTCCATAGGTGGTTGTCAATCATGTGCAATAGACACAACCCAAATCTGGGTGTCCATGTGGTGAAAGTCCAGGAATGCTCCACGAGGTGTAGAGATGGTGTGTGGATGCTGGATGGAGGGGGGGGGGCATGTTTATGCATTTCGTCCCACCTACATTTGGGACTTCTTCAGAGCCATGTCCCCATAGTCCCCCTCCATACATCAGGGTCCCCATAATCCCCTCCTTACATCATGGTCCCCATAATCCCTTCCTTACATCAGGGTCCCCATAGTTCCCCTCCATACATCAGGGTCCCCATAGACTACCTCCATACACAAGCGTCCCCATAGTCCCACTCCATACATCAGCATCCCCATAGTCCCCCTCCATACAGCAGGGTCCCCATAGTCCCCCTCCATACATCAGGGTCCCCATAGTTCCCCTCTATACATTAGGGTTCTTATAGTCCCCCTCCATACATCAGCATCCCCCCATAGTCCCTTCCATACATCAGGATCCCCATAGTCCCCTCCATACGTCAGGGTTCTCATAGTCCCCTCCATGCCCCCCGCAGACCCTGTGGGACCCTTATCTGACTGTTGTCTTAGCAGCCCTGGAGGTGAAAGCTGAAGGCTTTGGGGGGGTGCACAACTGAAATTTTGGGGGTTCATTTGGACTTTAATATATGCTGACTTTACTCTTAGTGGTTGGTTTCTGTACCATTGGTGATTTAGAGGAAGTACTGTATATACACCATCTAACCAGGATAGAATATTGACATCCAGTAGAATATTGTGTATCTTCCCTATGTTTCCCAAGTCTTTGTTGTCACTGTCTTCTATGTAAACTGCAATCTGAGTTCTTCTCAGGTTTATTACAGGTAAGTGTGGTTTCTGGGTAGGTCTTGGCATCTCAGATGTTAGAAGTGGATATAAATCTATGTTTACAATTGTTATATTGCATTTCTCCTATTCATTTCACAGTTGGAGTGCGCCAATTGTTTGAGAAACGTATACGAGAATTCATGCTCACTTGGAATCATCTGCGGCTTTCCCTGAAGACCAATGGTGAGTAACAACTTTCTTTTGCAATTTTTATGCTTTGGCCACTTCTCTGAAGAGCAACGCTTAATCATGAGAATGCAGCCTATTAAAAAAAAAAAATCAAAGGGTTCCTAGGTGTAGTGTTAGACAATCACTAGCGTATTGTGACTAAAAAGAGATGACAGCTAGGCAAGCTTTGCATTTATGATTTTCTGTGGGTCCGCCATGTTAGGATAGTTCAGATTTGCCATATTCTTTAGTGAACGTGAACTGCAGGGTAATTCAGGAGGATTACTGGACTTACCAGAGCTGAGTGTCAGGTCTAGGTGTGGACTGAAGGTGTAGGAGAAAACACAACAAAATCCAGGGGTCAGATGAACTAGAAGACAGAGCCAAAAAATAGAGTGGCAATGTCAGGTAAACAGGAACACCCTAAGGACTGTGACAATAGGAGGAGAAACGGTAGACAACAGGAGGAACAACCACAGAAAAACAGAATCCCTAACAGGGAAAGTTGGCAGAGCTGACCAGCCAAGTTCTTAAGGCCAGCCACACTACATATGGGTGAGCACACCTCCAACAAACACCCAGCTATGCGACCCTCAACAAGAAGAAGAAATATCATGAATGGGTCTATACTGTATTTACTTGAAGCCATCTATGCGTAAGATCTGTTGAGGGTTGACCTACCATAGTGGTTGACCTACCATAGTGGTTGACCTACCATAGTGGTTGACCTACCATTGTGTTGGAGTCAGATCGCAAGTCAAACATTTTATTGCTTTTTAATAAGGGCCACTGCAACCACCTTGTGCTGCCTGATTCTTGTGTTGTTGTCTTATAAACTGAAGAAATAAAAAGTGAACAAGAAATGATCTTACCCTGTGCCTCTAAAGTCTTTCACTTCAGACATTTTATCTTTCTGGAAATATTGTAGGTGAAATAAAGCTCCCAGATGGCACTGTGTGATGAGATCCTTACCATGGACAGCAAACTTGAGTTTCTTCTTCCTCGACGGCAGGGATTGGGCCTGGCAGCTACAGCCCTCACCAGCTACCTCATAGCACTGCAAAAACAGTTTTATATATGTGCTGGAAAAGTACATCAACATTGAACAAAAGTGCGTTTTTTCTATATTCTTTGAAAATATACGTAGATCTTACAATTACTTCAGTGTGTGAAGTACAATTAATTCATAAAAATATTCATGAGAGAATGCATTTAAATGAGTAAATAATACAGATCTATCATAGTGTGCCCATTTCAGAATAAACC